CCCGGCTATTTTTTGGTTGCAGCCGTCATTGTTGTTTGGCGGGTCCGGGCTGGGGATTTGAACCCGCCACCTTAGGTGTACATGGCTGGCGCCTCAGCCGGTTGAGCTATAGGCGCCGAGCCCCTGCTATGGATTTTAATACACTTATAAATTAATGCATGCCCAAGAAAGTAATTTAAGCACATCAGAGGCCACATGAGAGCAGAAAGAACAATGGATTGAGTTGGGACAATTGGGTTCTCATCTCGGCTCAACCTCTGACTACTGATGCAACTACGGACGTGACTGGTAAGAGGCTTAATCTATAGGCTTCCACATCCCCACTGGTAAAATGGCCATTTGTAAAAGGAAGACAGCCTGTAAGGTCCCTTTCTTTGTTAATATCCTATAGTTTTACAAAGCATCAGCTTCTTATTTCATATGTTCTCAGCAAGTCACATTTCATAGGCCAACTGAAACATTTCTCAGTTAAGCTGACCCCTTCTAAAAAAAGCACTGGATGCCAGTGACTATACTGTTCTTCCAAAGAGTCCCTAAAAAAGAAAGCTTCACAGCTGTCACAGCTTCACAGGGGCAGGGTAAGAACTTCCCTGGAAGGTATGTGCTCTGCCAGATAGAGACTAACCCAACAAATTGAATCTCCTCTTGGGGAACTTGAACACAGAACTCTCAGGGAGGACACAATGATAATTTTCCTTCATAATTGTCATTTTAAAGGAAATTTGTTGAATTTTTAGTTTTGAAGGAAATTTGTTGAATTTTTGATTCATATCTCAAAGAGACCAGAGGACCTCATGAAGTCAAAGGCTATTCCATCTTGTGCATTGTGGTATCCCACCCCCTCACAGCAGAGGCCCTCAGCAAAGTATTTTGAGCCAACTACAAAAAAAGAGAGATTCAGAACAAGGGAGAAAAAGAACAAAATACTATGGCAGCTCCAACACCATTTGAAAACAGTCTTGAATTACATTCTTTGTAGTCCAATCAGCATGGAATAGTAACCATCAGTACCTCTAACTTGTAGTTTTCGTTGTCTCTTACCTCTGACCACTTATTAATTTAGACGGAGAAATTAGATCATTTTCTGATTACCATGGGCTCTGCTCCAACATAGCACAAAAATGCCACTGAAAATCAAAGGAAAACTCTGCCTTTGAAAAGATTTATCCCTCCTGCAAAAGTATAGTTAAATTGACTCAGGATAAACAAAAACAAACAATGTAATACATTAAAAGGTGCTTATGAGACATTTAGTCTTTGAGAATTGGGCTTTTTTGAGTTAGATTTCACAGAACCATCTGACTTTGGGTGAGGGTTGTTTACCCTGATTTCCTGAAATTACCAGGAACAATTAAAGTTTTTAGAGATACCCTGAATTTTTCTTTCCATTTAGAGGGGGCCTAATGGCCCATCTGCAGATCTGGAGTCCTGTGTGCACATATGGTCCATGATTTATACAATGTGCTTATTTACATGTTTTAATTCTTACTTTCCATTGTTTTGAAAAATAAATGTATCTTTAAATCTTTCTTTGACAAGCAGATACATATTTAGTTACAGCGGTAATACCATTGAGAGTTGTCAGGCATAACAGCATTAGGACAGATAGCGGCCTGTTTATTAACAACATTCCAAGGAGGAATTTGTGTAACTATAGGAGAACATTCTGCTGTACTAGGCACTTCTATTTAGTGTTTTACTACTCACCTGAAATAGTCGGAGATGCACCTTCTGTCACCTGGACAATTACTTGAACTTGGCCTTCACCTGCAACTGAATACAAAGAGCCACAACTCAGAGGTGAAGCAAAGATCTTAATTATATTCACATGTGAGAAAAAAATGAAACTCTGCTATATTCTCCCCAACCTAACTAAATCCTCAAGATAAAAAAATGAAGTCCTTGTTAGTTAATCTAACAACTGATTTCCAACATTTGATTTTAATTGTTTGTATTTGATTAAATTTAATTATAGTGAGGGCTCCACAAGAATTAGCACATAATAATTAAGAAAAATTTAAAAAAGAAAACCTTTTGCCAGATGTTCTTTAGAAGCCAATGGTGTCCAGCAAGGCACACCTCATATCCTACTTCCTCTCCATCATTTTGTAGGCTCAGCTTCTAGAATTCATGTGTTTTTCACCAATAGAGTTCAGATCATCCATGAAATGTATTTGCTTTACCTTGATCCAAACAAATTGTCCTTTTAATGAAGGCTTTTCCCCCCACCCCCCATTCTCTTCTCATCTTCCAAACCAACTGAGCACATTTAAAAGGCCTGGGGTTCATTAATTTTAAGTGTTCAATAAATTAGTGGAAATAATCAAAAGGCCTGATTCTTTCTGATAACGACAATTTGATGTCGGTATAAACCAGTAGATTAAGCTGGGAACATATGCTCCTTTGCCAAGAGAGGCTGCTATAATTAAATAGTGAATGCATCTACAAGGTGCTCTCACGCCTGATTAATTAGTAATCAGGTGCACGAACTCCATTTTCCTGGTCACACCTTGTCTCTTATTGGTTAATTACCTTTCTGCCTTATCATATGACATGTGAACCAGCACCTCCCACCACAGGAGGACCCAATGCTGCTGAAGGCTCCAGCCTCAGGGCCTCAACCAAATTCACAGTCTCCAATTTTGTGTTCCTGGGGCCCTAAAACCTTTCCTCCATCACAGATGAAATAGACCAAGGATCATTCCATCTAATTAGAAAACATAAGCTTCACAATATGACAAAGAAAATGATCCCCAAAGAGATCCATGATGAGACCTCTCCAATTCTTCTATTCTTATCTTGGTCATTTTCTCATTTAAAAATTGTTCCAATTATGAAAAACATGAGTCTGTGGCTTTCTCCTTATACTGTCAAATCCTGAGACCAGGTACAGTGCTAACATGCTCTTGACAAGATCTACTTTTATCACTAATTCTAAGACTTTGCTTAAATTCTTCCTCTATCCTGTAGTCTATTTCACTCATCTTTCTAAGTTAATAATAATAAAGACACCAGTCTTGTTTCTCTTTTTTATATGAGGTGTGATTCATCCTTCTGTTCACATCGGTCTGTGCATTCTCTAATTTGAAAAGCACTTAATATACATACTGTAATATTTAGCCCAAACTGTTCTCAATTTAGTATTTATTGAGCATGATTGTTAATTTAGTATTGCATCAATAGTCAATTTTGTCTTCAAAAATTTTCAAGGGGAAATTTTTCTCACATGCCTTAAGACACTAGGCATTGCTACAAATGTAGAGACTTCATTTCCATGGACCAATTTAGAAATCAAGTTGACAGTGCTCTACTCTGGGTACCTAGCATTTAACTGACAACTTACACGTTCTGCCTGCTTTCTTAGTAGTAGGAAATAACCCTTTCAAGGAGCCAAAAAGCAAAATAATTTTCAAAGTTAGGCATACTCTGATTTCTCCTCAAATCAAATAAATGTTTGACCTCCTACTAAAAAGTTAGACTTCACTGGAAAGAAAGGAAAAAGAAAATATGGTGAAGACAGCTTGTGGAACCAAGCAAAAGTCTGTAACAATACAATACCCTTCTGTAAGACAAAGGGATTAAATATTGCAATAGAATCAAACTCTAAGAAAGGTAAATTAGATAAAATTTCAGGAAACATTTGGAAACAGAAATCAGCTCATTTAAAGATGTTACAAAAATCATCCTTAATGGTTTCCAAGTTATGTAGATTTCAGCACATCTGTGCCCTCTTCTTTAAGACAGAGCCACGGAGGTAAGGAGAGTAATAATAATAGTTACAAATCAAGAGTCTTCTTCAAAGCCACTCCAGTCATTTTACAATAATTCAATCAACCCAAAATAACTATAATTTATACCTGTAAGAGGAATGATTAGGAGGAAGAAAGAATGGGAACATTATTTTTCCCCACTGGATAAAATGAGGAAATTTAAGGTAGAAGGAAAGTAGTGGGCACGGCTGCTCACACCTGGAATCCTAGGACTCGGGAGACCAAGAAGGGTAGATTGCTTGAGCTTCAGGAGCTTGAGACCAGCCTGAGCAAGAGCACAACCTCATCTCTACTACAATACAGAAAAGTCAGCTGGGTATTGTGGTGGGTGCCTGTAGTCTCAAGTACCTGAGAGGCTGAAGGATGAGAATTGCCTGAGCCCAGGAATTTGAGGTTGCTGTGAGCTATGATGCCAAGGCACTCTAGTCTGGGATAACAGAATGAGACTCCATCTCAAAATAATAATAACAACAACAATAATGTGGAGGGAAAATATTCACTGTATCCAAAATCCCTTGAGTGAAAACTACGCCGAGAAAGTATAAATGGTTACAGTTATCATTATGATGACTCTCCCTCTCATGCAAGACTGTCGCCTCATTCTTTCATTCAATTCATCCCTTACCCAGGCACTGTTTTGAGTAAACCAGGGCTTTCTGGCTCAGCGCTCTGTTGCCTCTGTAGCTTTATCCACGACAGCATGCTCATGGCTTCTGGACTGAGTGGCCACTGATTTTCTTCAGCCTCTCCACGTGTACAAATGAACTCCACCTCCAGAAGAACCGCTTCCCAAAATAGACATTGGAAAACTAAATAGCATCTTAAAAACTCTATGCTCACTTCATTAAAGTTGAGTGTGTGAATGTCACTCAGAGAAGGTAAGTAGTTTCAGGACCAAAGAGGCAGAGCAAAGTGAACAAAAGCAGAAAGCATTAGAAGACTCTTATTTCCAATGTCACCCCCTCTACAGGGGGGGGTGGTTCTGAGCTTGTGGGTAAGGATCCAAGGACTATTTCTTCCCAAGCATCATTTCTAGGTCATGAGAGACATCAGAGTGGCAGGGAGAATTTGGGTGCTAGAGCCCCACAGGCTGGACCTGAATCCTGGCTCTTCTGGTTCTTAGATATGGGCAACTGATGAGTTATTCATCATTTCTGAACCTCCCTCACTTCCACCAAAAATGGGAATAGTCATACTATCTATCTCACAGGGTTACTGGGTAGAATAGATAGGATAATCCGCGGAAATGGCTCAGCACATAACTAATGATTACCAATACTGTCATTACCGCATGCTCATTATTCTAGGCACCAGTTAACAAAGTTCAAAAAAATGTGCTTTTATTCTCTTTACTCTTTTGACAGCTGCACCTAATTGTGATGAGCTGTAGTCTGACAGAGCTGTAAGCAACTTAAGCAGATCTGCTGAAGTCTGTTAAGTGGTTTGCCTCTATAAAAGACTGTACATGCGAAGTGTCATTTCCAATCTGAATAAACACAAAAAAGGATGAAAATCATCTAAGACTGAAGGTATGGACTTGGGAAGAGTTTACAAGCCTTCTCCAAGCTGTGATATTGTGCATATGTTTTCTCAGGGCTTGCGTGTTCTGATTTTGTGTTTGTAATATGAGCACAGTTAATCTTCCTTGTTTATACATAGAGCCTCTTTGTGGTTGATCCTTCCCAGATTGTAAGAAGATCTAGGCCTCCAAAAGAAAAAAAAAATTCTTTGGGTCAATTATTGCCAAGTTATTCTGATGAGTGCTATACGATCTGAGCTTGCTATAAACACAGAGATCTAGGAGGAAGAGAAAAATGTGCTAACTCCTAGTAAGAGAAAGAGAAAGTAAACTGCAGACTAGATGTGATACTGGTACTACCAAAGTAATGTGCCTGATAAACTTTGTCCTCCTTGGAAAAGACAAAAATTCATGGACTCTCTCCCTATACAGGCTTAATTCTCTCTTAAAATTTCGAAGGGAGAAATAAGTACCTAACTATTTAGAACCAAAGAAAAGTCACACGGCAGCTGAGTGGATTCTAGACTCCTTCCCTGTTTCTCCCTTCCATTCACATTCTCATTCTCACTTTGTTGTTTCAATCTACGCACATATGAGCACCTCTCACTCAGCCCAGGTTATCCAGTGTGTCAGCCACTGACTACACAATGACAGAACATGAAACAGTAACTGTAATTGGAGGCTGCAAATTGCATGTAATTGACTACCTGCCCTGACTTCGGGCTTTCCTTCCTGTGTCATCTGCCTGCACCCAAGTCCAGCTTTGTCTTCCTGAGCCAGCTGTTGGGTTGAGTCTCTGCATTTTCACCCTACACTACTCCCCACATCTTCTCCACACACCCGCATCCTCCTACTGTTTCTCCTGTCCTGCTCAGTGAACTTGACCTCATTCCCTAGAAGTCACCTTGCCTGTGCAGCCACAGAGAAGACTTGCTTGTCAACTGGTCCCTGGGCAGCTAAAGCTGGATTCACAGGACCAACCACACTCCCGTCTGATTCCAGTGTCACAGACACAGCCACGGAAACCAACTTGGTCCTTATACCACATGATCTTCTAAAGTCCTTCAGAGAAATATTATATGAAAATCCTGTGATCACCGTGGACACCTCTATTATCCCAGTAACTCACATTCATGGAAGGGTGTGATTGTTTTAAGAATAAAAAGAGCATGATCAAGATGCCAGAAGACATATCTGCATTAAGCATAGTCCTGAGAGTTGGTTCAATTAACCCTTCTTAATTAACTCAGAGAACAATAACAATTGTTATTCTGATTCAGAGCAATGTTTATGATATTTCTGTGAAAGTATTTGTGATGTCCTGGGCCCCTGTTTGGACCTCCAGGGACAGAACCTCTATGGAGGCTCCTGGAAATAAGCATTCCAGCTTTTAGCCCATGAGGTAAGCTTTAGAAACACTGGTTTAAGGAATTATACAACTTACCCTGTACTATAGCTCTCAAATATGTAGTTTGTTCTCAGGA